AAACATCAATGTGTGGTATCTTAATTATTAAAGTGTATAGCTGGAGACCTAATAGATGAAACTTTCCAGAAACTTTATTCTGAGTTATCCTATATATTATTTCTGCATTAATCCAACTGAAACATAACTCCTGTGTTTATTTTCATTGTGTCAAGTTTAAATCTCTTAGCCTTGTGCTGACAACACCTTTCTGTCTTTTCAAACACATTCCCCTGTGTCCCCATCACAAATCCCCTTTAATATGCTTTGTTCAGTACTTTCTCTATGTCTCTTTTCGTAGCATATTACATCCTAGAGGGCCCTCTCCTCGCCTCCTTGCCCTACAAACCTACCCTTCCTTTAGGAACCTCACTTTCTTCATGAAGCTTTATCTGATCAACAGTCAGAAGTAAACCTCCTTCAGAACAGCTCTAGAACATATAGTTAAGTTAATGTCACACGGTTTTCTTTGGAACTGGAGACTATTATGTTACGTGAACTAAGGCAGTTGGTAAAAGACAGATAGCATGTGATGTCACTTATAAGAGGAATCTAATGAACAAAATAATAAGCCAAATAGAACCAGAGGCATAGAATCATGGAATAGACTGGCAGCTGTAATAGGGGAGGAGAGTGGTGGGGACTCTCTGAAAGAGGTGAAGGGACTAGTCAAAGAACACGTGTGGGAGACTGTAGACGTGGACAGCAGTGTGGGGGTTGACAGTGGAAGCAGGGGGTGGTGGGCTGGGTTGAGGAGGGCGAAGGGGGAGAAATTGAGATAGCTGTAACAGCATGAACAATAATGAAAAATTAAGAAAAAAAAGATTGTGATATTCCTGATTGTTTCTGTCAATTTCCTAATTATCTCTCTAGCACTCTTGAGACATAGTATATAGAAGTAGCCACAAATTTTTACTCCTATCCATACATCTAGTAGCTTGAAGAAATAAAGGATGTCTTCTCATTCAATTCAGTTTTGTATAAGTAAGTCATTAAGACTTCTTCCTTTTCAGAGCTGTCATTTATGATTGGCTTACTCCTTTTTATCTGAGAGGAAATTCAGTATGACTTATTTTTAAAAACTAAAGTAAACCATTTATTTAAAAACTGTTATAATACTTGAAATAATGGGTAAAGTTGAGTCTGAGAATTAGTACCTTGGATGCTAGTGACACAAGGAAAAAATGTATTCATATTTTACTCTTAGCAAGCCCTTGATGAAAGCTTTTATTTTAATCAGCTTTTAAATTTGATGAATATGGATAGATATCTGGCATCATTCCAAGATGATTCTCTTTGTTTGCTGGAATCAATCACACAAAATAAAACAATAAAACCATAAATATAATCAAGTAACATGTTCATTGATGCTTCATATTAATGCATTAAGTAATCTTTGAACACAGTGGTGGTGTTTGTCAGCTATTTTTTGTGTAAAGAAATGATACTTAATGCTAATTTTGTGAAATAGATTTTATTGTGCTATTTCCAAGTGGATTATGTTCTTTATGACTAATAAATCAGAATATGGGATCTAATCACCTAATCATGATAAAGTATGTAGAATCTTTTAGTCCCAGAAAATATTATTTTATCCCTCAAAATTGGCATAGCCATTGCAAAAACATTATCAAGTCATGCCCTGCCCCTATATAAAGAACCTTTCAGTAGCTTCTCATTTTCAAAATGCATTAAGATCTGGAGTCTCTAGTATCACAAAAAAAAAAAAAAAAGCCCCATGAGAGCTGGCCTCAGCCATACCAATCTGCTTTAAGTTCTTCGATATGTCAGATTCTTTTCTATCTTAGTGGCTTCTTGTATGCCATTTCGTTTGCAGATGCCATACCCAGTCCTCCCCCTCCCACACCCTTTTTCTGTCATGACCATTTTGCGTCTTTTAGGCTTTGCCCCTTCTTCAGAGACCTCACTGATCCTCTCTTCTTAAATCATGTCTCCCATCTAAAATCTGTGATTGTACACTTTGATTTTCTTCTTAGTTTCACCATTCACATCTGTTTGTTGTGATTATTTATCTGGACTTGCCCAGAACAAAACTTCTCTGAAGATAGGGATCCCATCCATTTTTGTTCACCAGTCGACCTTCGGCAGTTAGCACGGGGACCGGCACCACAGTCTCCCGAGGCAGGATGAGAGAAACCCAGTACGTTTCTGTTTCCAGGGTCAGAAGTCCTCCACCAGACCGAGAAGTCCTCCACCAGACCTAAAATTCTCCACTAACGCTAGTTTCTAAGGAAATACAACACCAGTATAAGGGAGAGCTTATAAAACTACTCAAAACCCAGTGTCTGTGTTCCTCCCATTTCTATATTTTATACCAAACATGAGCTATTTTGCACTACTGATAAATGTTAAAGGACATACATATATAATTTTAAAAAATCAATATAAGCATTGCTTTTGTCTTTCCTTGAAGAAAACAAAAGCTTAAAATGGTATTTTTATAAAGTGTGTCTTAAAGACAGTTCTGTTTCTAAAAGTAAAGTTGAGATAGCTACAGATGTAGGCATAGACATAGGTATAGCTGTAGCAAAACCCAAATGTTTCTGTATTAATTCAGCTCAGTCACACTGTTGCAGTCCATTACTGTGAAAGATCATCAATTAGTGTTCCTCTTTTTACATTTGCATGAGTTTAACATTTGAGTTACACGCGTTGAAAAGGGCAGTGAACAGGATTACGGTTATTTATCAAAGATAATATGGCTGTTTGTTACGATTCTAGGCAGTATGAAACAGTTGTTCCGCTCGAAGACTCTATTGTGACTGAGGTTACAGCAACTCTACAAGAATGGGCGAGTCTGTGGAAACAACTCTATGTGGTAAGTAGTTGACGGCTACTTTATTAGATCGTTCAAGTTCATTGTACCAAGTGAAAAAATTACCTTGCCTATGCCAGTAGCAACATTTTTAGGTTTCCGAATGTTTCCAGTTTTTCAAGTGTATATTCTTAATATTAAGTAAGCACAGCAGACTGAGTTTGAGTATCCTGAAGAGAACACACTATTCCTAGGCCTGCAGTCTCTCCCCACCCTGTCTGTCGGTAAGTGTAAGGTCCGTAGGACCAGGGGTGTTAGCTGTCTTACTCATTGCTGTACTCACAGAGCTTTCACAAAGCAGGTATTGACTGAATAAATGAACAGGATTGAGAGTTATATTGTGAACCTAATGCTAGGTAAAGGCCAAGAAGTTGTAACAACAGTTTGTTGCAGCTACTAAATGTAAAAAACATGTCATATATGACACTTTCTGCTAGGCCAACGATGAATAAAAAGATTAATAAAAACACAGTCTATATCCTCTGGAAACTTAGAGAGTGGTAGGATACATAAAATGTAGGCCAAAAATAAGTGACAGGTTTTGGGTTCTGAACAAGATGTAGTAAACTCATTAGATATTACTCCTAATCACATAAAAACGCTGAACGAAACCTGTAAACCCCCCACCAGAAAACTCTGAATGCTGGGGAAAAGAAGGCGGGCTGACTGGAGCCCTTGGAACTCTAGCATTGAGTTCCCTGGTTACTGTTTTTCCTTCTTGCCTTCATGTATCCTGGCCTGGGCTCTAGAGAGGCCCACAGCCTGGAAATGCTAACAAATGCAAACTAAAAATAGTTTGCAGGAAAACCTGTTTTCCCTAGACAGAGGATGGCCCAGTGAGACAGAAACTGTTTAGCCTATCCTGCCTGCTCCCGAGGAGAACATCACGGTAAAAGCTGCATGCCCCCTCCACCCCCACAGGTACTGCAGCAGCAGAATCTGGGGCCAGAGCTCTGATTTGCTTCTCCAGTGGATCCTCCTCTGGGCTGACCTCTGACTTCTGCTCGTCTCCTTACAGTAATGAAGCAATGCCCCTCCTCAGTGGAGCCTGTAGGGAGGACTCTGAATTCTCTCTCACCTGCAGTTACAGGGTGGCACCTCTCCTCTGCAGAGCCTGTGGGTAGGACGCTGGCTTTCACAACTGTTCAGCGTTAACAAGGTGTTGCCCTTACCTTACAGAGTTCTGTGAACAAACCTTGATTAGTCTCCTCTGCTTTGAAGTAAGGAAGAAGCATCCCTCTGCAAAGGAGCCTGTGGTTGGAGCTCTTGGTTGTCCCTCCCCCTGTAGTAAAAAGGTGGTGCCCTCCGTAGCTGAGCTTGTGGACGGGACTCTGGACTTCACTGACCCCCCCACCCCTGCCATTGATGCGGCAGTGTCCCTCACTATTACATCCTGTAGACAGAACCCTGTTTCCCACCCTTGCGCTGCTGAGCGGAGGCAGTGCTTCTTCCTGCCCAAGTACATACTGAAGACAAAGCGGAGTGGGGTTCTGTCATCCGGGCAACACACAAATGGGCAAACCCGGAGAGCACCGGAGGGAGACTGTATAAACTAAATTGACATTTGAATCAAAGCCCACAAAAAGGAGCCTGGTATTGCATTCTGAATCTAAACAGGATGACCACCTGCTAAACTAGGAGATTTCAATAGGAGCCAGAGTGTTATAGTATGATATTTAAAATGTCCAGCACATAGCCCTAAAATATTTGTCTTGTGAAAAATCAGGAAAATCTCAAATCTCATGAGAAAAGATAATCAGCAGATGCCAGCTTTGAAATGACATAGGTATTGAAATCATCAGCAAGAATTTTAAATTAGCTGTTATAAAATTGCTCCAATGAATAATTACAAAAACTCTCAAAACAAATGGAAACAAAGCTGTAGCAAAGTAGAGAATATAAAGATCAACGGAAAAATTATATTTATTTTTTTATTTAAAAATATATTTTTTGAGGAATTTTTTTTTTGGCTGATACCTTTATTGCTTTGGGGGAAGGGGGTGCCCAGGAGCTCTTGGTGGGGCGGGCTGTGCGGGAGTGGCGCTGGCCGTGCCAGTGCACAGGTCCCAGTGGTACATGTTCTTGTGGGTAATATGCTGGATAGCGCTCGGAGTGGCCCAGGTGTTCTTGCTGATGATGGTCCACACGTAGGGGGTGGCTGGCTTTTGCTGGCCAGATCTCTGCTTCACGACGACCACCACACATCTGTGCCACTGGCCGCTGGCTCCATGCCCGCCGTCGTGTGGCGAATCAGCCTGCTGTAGCAGAAGGAGTTGTGGGCCTTCAGATTATTGGGTTTCGTGTCGTACGCCTGCCTGTTCCTCTTGATCGGGAAGCTGGAGCAGTTTTGTGTGACCGTCCATTGTAGGTGGGCAGACATGGTCACAGCTCCTCTCGCTGTGGCAGCCGGAGATGGAAAGAGCTCAAATGAAAGTTTTACAACTGAAAAATACAATAACCAAAAATTTAAATTTACTGGCTAGTCTCAGCAGAATGGAAAGGACAGATGAATTAGTGAACTTAGAGATGGATCGATAGAAATCATCCAGTCTGAGCAATGGAGAGAAAGTAAATTTAAAAAGTGAACTTAGCCTCAGAGACCTGTGGGACAATAATAGAAGATCTAACACGTAAGGCATTAGCGTACTAGATAGAAAGGATGGAATGTGGCCCTGCCTGGGATGGCTCAATGGACCAAGTGCCAGCCTGTGAACCAAAGGGTTGCGGGTTCAATTCCCAGTCAGGGTACATACCTGGGTTGCGGGCCAGGTCCCTAGTGGGGGGCGCATGTGAGAGGCAACCACACATTGATGTTTCTCTCCCTCTCTTTCTCCCTCCCTTCCCCTCTCTCTAAAAATAAATAAATAAAATCTTCAAATCCCTAAAAAAGAAAAGAAAGGATGGAATGTGGAAGTAAACATGTTTGAAGAAGTAATAGTTTCAATCGTTCCAAATTTGCCAAAAGACATAACCCTACAGAGCTTAGTGAACTTAAAACAGGATAAACCTAAAGAAATCCATACTTAGAAACATTGTAGTTAAACTGAAAATTAAAGCCAAAGAAAAAAATCTTCAAAAGTAAACTACATGGTGCCTTCAGGGAAATGCCAGTTTGAATGGCAGCAAATTTGTCATCAGAAACTGTGAAAGACAAAAGGATGCGACCCAACATTTTTCAACTGCTGAAAGAAAAACAATTGATGTCAACCCAGAGTTGTGTGTGCAGGAAAAACTATACTTTAGGAGTGAAGGAAAAAATAAACACAGTTTTAGATGAAGGAAAGCTAAGAAGTTTTATCACCGGTAGATTGGTTCTAAAGGTTCTAAAATAATGACTGTCAAGGAAGTTCATCTGATACAACTTAATGGGACACTTGGGACATTAGGAATGAAGAAAGTAGTGGAGGGGGTAAGTGAATGCTCTTCAGTTTTTAAAATTGTGTTGGATGGTGCAAATTAAAAATTATAACATTGGTATGGTTCTCAGTGTATATATAGGTTCTCAATGTATATAAAGTATAGGTTATACTTTAGGAGACTGAAGTAGGGAAGGAAGGGGACCATAGATTGTGTTAGGTATCTGCATTTCACTTCAAGTGGTAAAATGTTGATACTAGTAGACTCTGCTAAGTATGTATGTATATTGCAATCTCTAGAGCAATCATGAAAATATCACACAAAGTGATATAATAAAAACTTCGTAAATAAATCAAAATCAAGTACTAATAATGCAAGTAACCTATAGGAAAAGAAGGAAGGAGAACAGGAAGGTAAAACAAAGGGAACAAACAACAAGTACTAAGATGGAAGACTTAAATCCTAACATACAAACAATGAAAAGATAGGAATTGGCAGAATTGACAAACATAAAAGAACTATGTGCTGTCTATAATCTTACTTCATATATGACTAATGACACGGGGAGGTTAAAAGATAGAAAAATACCATGCAAACGCTAATCAGTAACAAAGGAATGGCTATATTATAATATATTAATTATGAATTATTTCTTCCTTAAATACAAATACAAATAAAGTAAATTATATTATGCCATTGTAATTTTACTGTTATTATGTCAGAGTAAAGAAAACTACCAGACAAAAGGACTTTACAAAATGATAAAAAGGTCAATTTACCAGGAAGACATAGCAATCTATTTCCTTTAGTTATTCCATTTAGATTTTTAGTTTTTGGCTTTTTTTAAATTTAAATTTTATTTTTAAGTTAAGTTTACATTTAATGTTATTTTGTATTAGTTTCAGGTGTATAGCACTGGGTTAGACAATTATGTAGTTTACAGAGTATTCCCTGGATATTTCCAGTACCTACCTGGCATCATACATAGTTATTATAATACTATTGGTTATATTTTTATGCTGTACTTGACATCCCTAGAACTATTTTGTACCAGTTTGCACTTTTTAATCCCTTTTAAATACAGATGTTTCTCAAGGATATGTGAAACATTCACCAAGATTGACAATTTCTTAGGTTATAGAACAACTCTTAACAAGTTTGTAATAATTTATGCCATACAAAGGACATTTTGACCATAATGGAAACAAACTAGAAATCAGTAACAAAAAGATAACAGGGAAATACTGAAGCACTTAGAAATGAAACAACACACTAAAAAATCCATGAATCAAAGAGTAAGTCTCAAGAAACATAAAAATATATTGAAGTAAATGTAAATGAAAATATAAAATTAAGATTTGTGGGTGTGGGGGTGCAGCTAAAGCAGTGTTGAGAGGGACATTTATAGCATTAAGTGCGTTTTAGTAGAAAAAAGTAGGGTGTCAAAAAATTTCATCTTTTACTTTAAGACTCTAACAGCAAAAGATAAATCCAAGCTAGCATAATAAAGCAAAAAATAATGAGCAAAGTTAATTAAATTAAAAATAGAAAAATAATAGAGAAAAATTAATGGAACCAAAAGCCCGTTTTTGAAAATATCAATAAAATTGATAAACATCTAGCAAGACTGACAAAGAAAATGAGTGAAAACAGTACAGTCAGTCCTCACTTAATATTGTTTATAGATTCTGAAACTTGAAGCAAAATGACCTATGTGTAATGGAATCAGTTTTATCTTGGGCTAGTTGATATAGAGAAGAGGTAAGTTCCTGTGGCATTTCATCAGTGTTATAAACAAACGATGTTGAATGAAACAACGTTATTCAGGGACCTGCTGTAATTACCCATATTTTAGGACTAAAGAAGGACATGTCATTAGAGATACCGCAGGCCTTAATGAGTAGTAAGAGAATACTCTGAACAACTCTTCTGTCATACATAAATGACAGTATGGATGAATAAAACAAATTTTTGAAAACCACAATTGCCAAAACTCACGCGAAACAAAATAGATAATAAATATTCTATTATTCTAAACGGAAGTCCAGCGGTACCTTGGTACTTGGCCTTAATTCGTCCCGGAACTCGCGATGAGTGCCGAGACCGATGAGCACTGAGCAGGCGCCGTGCGATGAAGCGTTTCCTCTCGTGGGGCGGTGTCGTGACTCGTACGAGTTCTAGCAAGTGCAGCAAGTCCCGAGCTGAAACTTTTTTTTTTTCATCAAAATGCAGTGAGTACAGGGTACGAGGTGTTCTGAAGCCGCCAAGTACCAAGGTATGACTGGCATTGCATTTATAATGAAAATCCTTCCAAAAGAAAATCACTTGCAAAGTAAAACAGAAGTACAGATAGAAGTTATGAGAGAGTTGTTAGAAAATACAGATGACAGGTGTGAGATGATACCTCATTGTGGTTTTAATTCGCATCTCTCTGATGATTAGTGACATGGAGCATTTTTTCATGTCTGTTGGCCATTTGTATGTCCTCTTTGGAGAAGTGTCTGTTCAGATCCTTTGCCCATTTTTTAATTGGATTGTTTGTTTCCCTGGTGTTGACTTGTATAAGTTCTTCATGTATTTTGGAAATTAGCCCCTCATCTCACATCTGCCAGAATGGCTATCATCAATAAATCAGCAAACGTGCTGGTGAGGATGTGGAGAAAGGGGGCCTTAGTGCACTGCCGGTGGGAGTGCAGACTGGTGTTTCCACCATGGAAATACTATGGAGTTTCCTCAAAAAACTAAAAATGGAACTGCCCTTTGACCCAGTGATGCCACTTCTGGGAGTATATCTTAAGAATCCTGAAACACCAATCAGAAAGCAATTATACAGCCCTATGTTCACAACAGCATTGTTTATAATAGCCCAGATTTGGAAACAGCCCAAGTGCCCATCAGTAGATGAGTGGATAAAAAAGCTGTGGTACATTTACACAGTGGAATCATACGCAGTTGTAAAAAGGGAGGAACTCTTACCCTTTGCGACAGCGTGGATGGACCTGGAGATTATTATGTTAAACAAGATGAGCCAGTCAGAGAAGGACAAATACCGTATGATCTCACGATATGTGGAATTTAATGAGTGAAATAAACTGATGAACAAAATAAAACCAGTAAACATGGATACATGGAACAGACTGAGAGATCCTGAGGGGGCGTGGAGCTGGAAGAGATCAGCCAAAGAACATACATGCACTTCCTCACAGCCTGTGGACCCAGACGGCACCGTGGTCAGGCCTGGGGACGTGGGGCTGGGTGGAGGGGGGCAGAGCGGGAGAAACTGGGGACGTCTGTAGTAGTGTCAACAATAAAAAAAGAAACACAGAGGACATACTCAGGGGATCTAATATCTGCATAGTAGGAAATAAACGTGTAAATAGACTGCCAGAAGTAATACAAAAAATAATTTTGTGCTATAAAAGTTCACACTGAAGGGGCCTACTGAATATCAGGCCATATAACCATACTAGCTACCTATCCATCTGTCTTTTGATTTGTCAGGCTACACATATACATACACACACAGTGTGTACATACACACATGGACAGGTCTTAAATATACATGTAAATAGAATTACATTGCAAATATTTTTATGAGACTTGTTTGTACTCCTAAATTGTCAGAATATTTACAAACCTTTTGATTTAAAAAATCTTAAGTGTAATTTTTTTTAATTTTCTCAATCACTAACAATTTTAAACTGAATGAACAGTCGTATGTTATCATATGGATGACATATACTGTTGGAAATGAGCTCTTAACTTTATTACTACTAAAAGCACTTAATGAACACCTTTATGTACTAATTTTCTTTTTTGTAAATATATTTTATTGATTATGCTATTATCGTTGTCACATTTTTCCTCCCCTTTATTCCCCTCCTCCCTGTACCCCCCCATCACCATCATTCCTCTACCTTGATTCATGTCCGTGGGTCATACATGTAAGTTCTTCGGCTCCTCCATTTCCCATACTATACTTAACCGCCCCGTCTGTTTTGCACCTACCGTTTATGCTTCTTA